CYGTATGGTTTGGCCATAGGATATTTTCACAATCAGTTAACTCAYGGCTGATGCCAGGAAGGTCTCGCCTTTCTTTTAATAGCTGAGAAAGTATAATGGATTTTTACAATTTAAACAAGTTATGTAAACAGAAGAAAAGAAATCTAGATGCCATAACTCATATAAAACAAGATAATCCAGAGAAGTACACTCCTTGAAATCACCTATTGATTCTATCACAACCAGCAAGGAGTCTGCTACTTGTCAGAAAGATACTCTTTCTCATGCAGTTTCAAACACACTGTCAAAATTGTGTACAGCTTCTAGCTCCCAGGCTTTCCACTTACATACAAATCTCTCAATTCACTTTTTAATTYCCATTGTTTGGAGGCCTATCCCAAAATTTTTAAAAGAAAAAAAAACCCAACCCACAAAGCCCTAAAACATTTACTTAAAGCTACTTAGGTTTACAGAGGTRCAGTCTGGTAAAGATGATGTATGTGTTTAATAATATGTTCCCTGGTTAATAAAATACTAAATTATTTTTGGACTTAGAATTTAAATGGAAGAAAGTTTAACCATTATGAACCTGTTTACTACTACCAAGAGAATAGCCAGTTGGCAGGTCAATAGCTATCATCAGAAATAAAAAACCACAGAAGCCACCTGTGTTTAAGGCTTGTCCCTATCAGGAAAAAAAAAGAAATGAAAAGGCAAAACTTAAGAAGCGAAACTGGAGCATGCTGGGTTCTCTTCAGTTTAAAATTTTAAAAAAAAAAAAAAAGAAAAAAAAGAGGGCATTTCTTTGGGCCTACTGATTTCAGAGTTTAGAGCACATGAGAACCAGCTCCTCCAGACTGTTTAAGATAAAATGGGCAGCAAATGCCTCCACCAAACTTTTTCTCTAGATAATCAGTTGAATCCAAAGCACAATGAMATATCTTAGGCAGGTTCTTCGTGGCATAAAGATCTGCTCTGAAAGGAAACGTGCACGCAGGGATATTTCCCCTCCCTCTGTGAACAGTCCCATGGCTGAGCCAGCTGGAGAGTGGCCATTTAGGGTTGAAAAGGGCAGCAGACACCTGTGTCAAGTGCATCCTTCCTTTGCCAGATGGAAATAATGGGAGCCTTGAGCAGTTCTTGCTCCCTGCAAGGGTCGCACCTGCAGAGGGGAGCAGAGCGTGTCCCACGGATATTCCCAGTGAGATCCCTGCCAAAAATGGCAYTTCTGCCATGGAGCCTGAGCACATCATTGCCAGCAGGGAACATTTGGAGAGGCAATGAAATCTCCTTCCTGCATAATCCAGGACATGCATCAATCCTGAGATTAAATGCAGAGAAGAAGAGTTTTTCCCTCTGATTTCTTGTTCCCTCATGAGGACTGTTCTCATTCTCACCACTCAGCTGTGGTTAATGTCTCCTTGTCCTAAAGGCTTCACTTACGTATGTATATACCAGATTGACATTTACATATCATTAAAAATTACCCCATGTGGTGATTCACATATTCTCTCATGTAATAATACAGAACAACTGTATTAGTAAATCAAAACATTTTAAAACCAAATATACTACATCACAAAATTCTTCTCATTAAACACACAGAAACATTATAGTCCAAATACCAGCTAAATATTGAAAGATTGGATGTTTAGGTGATGGATAAGCCTGCAAAGGATAAATTATTTTCTTGAACTTATCGACAATGAAACRCTTGAATTCAGTTTAAGTTTGGATGGTCAAAGATGTTCCATTTTTCAGCAGGAAGGCAATTTTCATCCAGTAAAATCTGGGCTAAAAAAGCAGAGGAGAGGCAGTAGCAGCACTGCAGAACATCCTTTTGCTCCTGACCACCTCCTGGTGGTTCCTTAAGGTTTGTTGAAGTCAAACAGAACCCAGCCAGTTTTACACCACTTACACCATTTACMAGTTCCCAATGGTTTAAGTACTGTTACAGATATTAATGCCTAATCAACCATTGATGCAATTATTCTTCTCACCCACAAGCAAAGTCTTAAATAAACAGACAACTACTACTCGGCCTTCAGCTGATAATGTTTTCTTCCCCATGCTTGTTAGTGGAGACTTCCTTTCTGAAATTTGATAAGACATTCACAGAGTGAGAAAGAAAAAAAAACTAAAAAAAACCCCAAACAAACAAACCCGCACACAAAACAAAACAAAAACCAAAATAAAAACCAAAACAAACAAACTAAAAAAAGCAACCAAGAAAATTATTGCTCCTATGAACAGCCCTTATTTCATTATCACAGGACCTTAACCTGGACTTGTCCAATGTTACATAACTTTTTGTCCTCGTCTCTCATGGCAGTGTTTGCGTGGCTCAGAGCCACCACGTGGATCAAGGAACCTTCAGCACTCCCTGATGCCAAAGGAAACGCTCCTGCAATGCTCCAACTTAACAAGGAAGGCAAAAGTTGGAGTTACCTGCAGCTGCTCCTTGCCAAAACCCTACTGCCAAGAGGCCAGCAAAGGTTGAGGTCACTGCTCCACAGCTCGTGCCATGTGCTCCCATAATGAGCAAACAAAATCAGGGTGAGGTGTGAAATCTGAATATTGGGACCCCATTGATCAGCACAGAAATGAGTGCAGGGAACTCAGCAAACTTCAGGATGAGCTCACAGGAGCTGGGCTGGAACACAAGGTACAACCAGGCAGAGGCACAACCAACACAGATCCAGACACTTTTTCAGCACATGCAATAYACATTTTTTTCTTTGAAAGCAAATTGTCAGCTCTTAGTTCCCTGTTGGCATGCTGAACAACATCTTTTTTTCTTTTTCCAACCTCTCTATCTCCCAGAATCAAGCCACAAAGTACATAAACAAACTCTTCAACTGCCATAAATATTGTGGGGGTTATAACATGTAGGGAACCTCATTACAAATATTTTAAAGAAAAAGTTTCAGCTCTCCAGGAGTCTTGTTTTAATAAGACTTTCTATGAAATTCTGTAAAATCCTGTGAAACTATTGTGTACTGATTTGTAAAAAGTAAATCTCAATATACTCCATTTTTAGTCTCATCTAAGGCTTGAGTTGTGGATGGAGCCACTGCTGTATTTTGCTTCCTTTTCTTGTAGAGCCAAATTTCTGTGACTCAGACAATTGATCCAGAAGAACAAGCCAGGATAGGTAGCAAACTACCCGGGACAAACTCCCTGTCACTTGAGTTTTTAAACCAAGATTGAATGCCTTTCTAAACCATGTGCCCAGGCTCCATCACAAGCTTTACACAACAATCACTAAGCAAAACCCTCAGGCCTATGTGAGTCAGCCAAGATGATTATAATGGTTCCTGCTGGTTAAAAATCAGGTGAAATAGAAACTATGGTTGAAATKCACCCACATTTACCACCCTGTGATAAAACTGTGAATAGAATTTCAGCCAAAGTGTTTAGAACACTAAACCKAAACTTAGGCAACCCTGCATCCAGACAGATTTTTAGGGAACCACCCCAAACTACACATGGAGAAGAACTGTGYCAAGCCTTATTAAGGTTTTGCTCTGAGCAGTGTAAGAGGAAATAAAAAACATTGCCTTCTGCCCCAGGGTTACTGCTGAAAGAGAAAGACCAGCTGGGACCTCTTGTGGAATGCAAAGGAAGCTTAACATTTATCYTTATCTGCTCTTTATGGTAATTTTTGGAGGAACTCTTAAAAGTGTGCATCTCCAAGAAAAAATAAACCTCTGAGAAAGCTCTTTTGGCCTAGCAGCAAGTTTTAGAAGGGCTGGTGGCTTTGCTAGGTATCCTGAGGCTCATCAAACAGCCAGTCCCTACTGACTGATGCTGAGGAGCCAGGGGAGGAGAACGGACAGAGCTCACATGAGAAATTCCAGTTTGTGACCTCTGTCACTTCTGCATTTCAGTAACTCCCACTGTAAAATAAAATTCACCAAGGAAAGCACTGACTCTGCAAGCCACTAACGTAAACCATCTCTTGAAGGCAAAGCACATAAAATGGAGCAGTTTGGGGAAGCCCTGACTCCAGCACATCACATTTGGCCAAGGCTCTTGCTTCCCCCTGCAGTGGACAGTGCCCACTGCTCCTCCCCATGGGAACACAGCCCTGGTCAGTGGGCAGACTGGACACAAACACACAAACTGTAGATGGGTGTTAGTAAACATACAGATTCCACCAGCAAGGGATTATGTGACTCTTCCCCAATGTCTGGATTGCACATTGTTACCAAACAAAGGAAATTATGCAAAGACAGCCCCAGAGGCAGAGTAACCATGATCTGCTCCTACTTGTGAACAAACACCTAATAACCAAAATTAATTACCTGTCTCTGCTCGTTTTGTTAAATGATCAAAGTAACACATCCACTAGCTGCACATGAATGTGAGTATTTGACCAAAATTACATTTATACAGAAGTGGTGCAGGGCCAAAGCCTGCAGTATTTGTCATCAGTCACATGTAAGTCACCTTACTGAGGGAATTGCTCCTAATTTCTTAACACCAGAACTGTAGGATACAAGAATTTCTGGAATATTAAAGTGATGAGGTTCTGTTGCAGAACAAAGGTAGAATCAATTCTTCTTAGAGTTTCCCTCACCCTCATCAGGCCACCTGGCACACATGAAATATTTGTGAAAGCAATTCCAGGATGACCAGAGAAGGTGCTGGAAGCACCACAGTCAGTTCAGCAGTTGGCTGTTCCAGAAACCTTCGGGAATGAGGATGGAAGGGCCCAACTTCCTTTGCCACAGGATCTCTGCAGAGCACAAAACACCCTCATTTCAAGGAACACTGCAGTCCTCCAATGAGCACCACTCGCCCCTTTCAGCAACAGCTCTGCAAAGCACCATCCTCTAAACTTAAACTCTCTTTCCTCATTTCTTCACCATCGTGCAGTATTTTGGATCATCTTGAGTTCCTTCAAAATTGCTTTTTCTGGCACAACGTGACAAGCATTGTTGTTCCTGAGTTTGTCTGCAATGAGAACTGCATKACCAACCCATAGGAAGAGGAAAACACCAAGCAAGGATACTCACAGGGACTGGCTCCTGGGCCACTCAAGTCCTGAAGAAACTTTCTCCTGTCTACAGTAGGCTTTGAAGGCAGGCTGCTAAACTTCTATCTTGGCACTCCAGTCCATATTTGCTCCCAATAAGGCAGAAGAAGTTTCACTGACCTCAGCAAATCCAGCCCRTGGCTTCAGTCTCCTCATGAGAGCTCTGGATATGCCCTCCTGGCAAAGGAAAAGGAAAACTTTGCAATAAACCTATGGAATTTTGTTGGCTAAGAATTTTGATAAAAGCATGTACAGAAGGCACTCAGAGTCAGGACAGACCATGTAAAACACATACATAAATATTTATGTAGTTTCCCTTTCTTTCAGGAATTGTTTGTTGTTCTATTTGATCACAGTATTTCTCCAGCTTCCAATATTTTTGGAAAATGTTCTTACCTTCATTTGTAATCACTCTGTTTGGTGTGGAAGATGGATTTTTCCAATTTTGTGCTATTATATACCTTAGCATGGAAAGGATTAGATGGGTTTTTTTCCTTTTTCCGTTTAGTCATTATTTAACTGCTTGTGAGCTTCAGGGATTTATATCCCAGTAGGTCTAATTCCAGGATTATAGGTATCTAAATATCCAGTAAATCATTTAGTAGCATATAGGTTTAAGGCAACTCCAAATAACCCCTCCAGTTAGCTTTCCAGCTAAAAASTGAATTTAGCCAGAAGCACTAGATTTTAGTAAGAGTTATTAAGTAATGCAGAATCACTAATTTAGAGTCAGACTCTACTTGCTTCAAAAGTACTGATAAAATTTATACCCACTTCAGTGGAACATGGCAAGGTCTTCAAATCCTCTTGCTTTAGACACTTGCCTTCTTCCTAGCCAAATACTAATCAMAGTCTCCTCCTCCTCTGATTTAAGGACCAGCTCTCATTCCCATAACCATTACATTTTTATTTAGATAAACACTGTCAGGTTGAGTTGACCCAAAATTTAGATTTATTGAAAATGAAATAAAATGAGCAACAGAAAGCTCTCTGTATTTGTTTTTCTAAATTCCAGTGAAAGCAGCTTCTTGGTTTGGACTTCAATTTTCCTTGGCATCATCTACAGTCTGAACATTGGAGCACTGTGCTCRTACATGAAAACAAATAGGGGACAGACAAAAGTGAAAGAGAGTTATAAGTTTTCCTTGTTTGGGCTTAGTGAAAAGTAAACACATGGYATTCAAGATCAAAAGCAAATCTGGTTTCTTGCCATCTATCACTCAGAATAATCAAAAGCGATACTAGCACCAAAGATAAGGAGATCACTGGGTGATTAAACTACCTTTTAATTTGCCCGTGCTCCTTTAAACGTGGCACAGAGAGCAATGGCAATGCCCTGGCAGAGGGTGAGAACAGCCAGGGATTGGTGCCAGCTCCCAGGGCGTGTCTGGGTGTGCTCTGCTGGGTTCAGCTCAGGCGCTGCTCCGCTGGCACCGGCGGTGCTGCAGAGGCACAGGTGTCTCCAGGTCGGGTTTCTGGTGTGCTTTGAGATGCATGAGGGTGTTCAATCATCATTTCCCAGCACTGACTGATTCTCCCCAGCCTGTACAAAAAGGTGTTTTTGTAGCTGACCCTTTCCTTGCWGCACAGAGCATCCTGGAGCAGGGGACTGCTGAGGGACACAAACTCAGGGCACACAGGGAACAAGCCTGGTTCTGACAGGGCCTGGAGGAACCAGGGCTGGGCTCTGGTGAGGTGATAAAACTGAGCATCCCTCCCACCCTGAAGGGTAAGTGCCTGTTTCAACTCTCCTTATATTGGGTGTGTCAGAGAGGCTCTGCCATCGCCAGATTAAATTGTGTTCTTCTTCTGTAGAACAGATATAAAAAGGCCTTTTCTTTCCAGACAGAGACTTTTTGCCTGCACGAGTGTCAACACAGAGTTCATTTCAGGCAAGCTCTGTGGTGAAGGGAAAGGTGAGGTTAGGTGAGGAGCCCTTCCCATCAAACCAAACTTGAAGGCAGGCCAGGACTTCGGGGCTGGATTAGGACTGGGCACATCCTGGCACACGGGGCACTGAGTAATCTGCAGCACCTCAAGGAGGCTTGGAGGCTCACAAACCACCTTGCATCTGCAGTTTCCTTCCTTATATAGTATTATATAGATATTAGATTATATATTATATAAAACACRTATATATTATGGTAGATTATATTCATTTTCCATGCRCTTCCCACCATCCTTTGCTCTGGCYCTGGMTGTCCACTCCTCCACACACATCCTGCAAGGAATGAGCAACAGGTAGGCYTGTTTACATCCTGCATGCCTGGATCCACAGTCCAGAAAGCCAAAAAAAGGGGCAACAGAACACTCAGTTCATTCATCTTTATCCCGTGGGCAAGAGAAATTAAGTCACCATGTAGCCTTCCGTTACTGACCACACACTGTGTTCAGCTCAACAATTTTAAATGGCTTTGAGAAAGCTGATTTTCAAATGAATGGACAGTGAAAATGGAGAAATAATATATTCCACTGGTGCYATGTCATCCTGGCCCATCATTCATAAAATTTTATGTGTACCCAGACCCTGTCAACAGCTCTGCTTCAAAGAGCATGCAGGATCAGCAGTCTGYAGCTTCAGAGACAGACAACATCTAAATCCACCACCCTTGCAGCAGCATCTCTGCCTGAATATGATAGATAAGGATTTCAGGAAGGCATGTCAAAGATAAAAGGAAAGCTACCCCTTGCTCTTGTTTAATTTCCCTTCCAATTTCCTAAAAGGCCTGTTGCGGGAATGACTGTCACCAGAAAGATACAGGGCCCAATTTACAGCCATTGCACACAACTGCAATAAGCAGTTGCAGTCTATAATTTTCAAGTAACACCACATTTATGAAAACTGCAACAATCCCTTTTGCTGTGATTTGTGGATTCTGATGGCAGAAGATCCAACCTCTCTCTCAGGCGGCAGAGAGAAGGATGAAGAGAACCAAACTGGCTGCTGCCTCAGCATGTAGACTGCAGAATAAATAAAAAAAAACCTTAAAAAGTGTTAATAAAATATCCGCCAAGAGTAGAAGGGGAGATTAGAGCTGACAASTTGGCCATAGGGCCTTCTTCAGGCTCTTCCAGTTAGAACTGAGACAAGATGACAAGTTGAGAAATTAAACCAAGTTGACGTGGTCTGCATTTTCATAAATATCCCCCTCCTTTTTTATATTAAGAAAAAAATCTGCAAAATAAAAAGAATAGAATTCAAACAAAAGCCTGMAATACTGTGAAGTTCTCCTAAGCATCCTGCACCAGGCTTTGGAATAAATGCAAGAGTAACTGCAAGACCCAACACAAATGATGCACTGTATTTACTGAGGAATCACCTCTGATTTTTTTCACCCAGGATTCTATTTGAGTGGAAAGACTTCAGCATGAGTTGGATGAAGTCCCAGATCACCCTGCACTTTTCAGGGAGAGCAGTGTTACTACTACAAGAGTGAACCAGAAAAAAAAACACTGGTTAAACCTTATTATGATTTGGGTTTTTTTCAAAGTCTTGTCAAAATCAGCAGAAAAGCTTTCATTAGGTGTAATCATTTTCTGAAAAATGGTTAAAATGTTTCTGAACTGGGGCTGAAATTCTGGCAATAGGGACACATTCATGAAGAGTCAAACCCAGAGCTCCACATTATCATCAATTCACTCACTCTGTGCTTCAGGCAACTTTAATGTTTCAAATCTGAAGCATTTCCTCTTTTACCTCCAAAGAGCCACTCCATTGTTAAATAAATTATAACTACGCCTCTAATTTTGCCATGTGGGAGTTTCTTTCCCAATCCAAGATTTGGGAACCGGGAGTTTTTCTCTAAATTGCTCGGGCTGAACAAAGGTAACACGACAGATTTTCCAACTACGTAATTTAATTTTTCTCACTACCATCATCATCATCATCATCATCATCATCATTATTACTGTCAGGATCCTTTCCTTGGTGCTTTAGCTGTTGCCTCAGCGAGGTGAGCAGTGCTGCCCCGCACGTAGCCCGTGCTGCCCCATTTCAGGTGAGCACAGCCACACACACACAAGAGGTCCAACAAAGAATTTATCCCAAAGTGCTATCATCAGGTATTGTTTTTAAGCAGTGAACTGCACCCCAGCAGCACAGTGGAGCTCAGGGCTGGCAGGTTACAGGAGTGCTCCTCGTGCAAGAACAGGGATGTTTCAGGAAAATGGGTTTTTATTTGCTTCAGTCAGACTTTCAATCACAAGGCTTTTTCAGTGTTCACTCAACCTTCTCTGAGGGGGCAGTAGAAGGTTTAAATCTTAATCTCTTCTGAGCACAGAGGGCTTGAAAGACAATGGAATAAATGTGTCTTCATCATATTAGACATGAGGGGAAAGCAAGGAAGACCCTCAGTAGTGTTTAGTAATGAGCTCTGCAATCCTAACCCTYAGCAGAAGAACTTTAAGTCATTGGTCCCACTGGAGAAGCCATGCCTGAAAGGGATGAAATCCTGGGGAGGGCTTTCTCACATCTTTTTTTTTTTAAAGCTGTGTCAGGAAGGACTCCCTGTGGTGGAGCTGGCCTTTAAGAACTGAAATTCCTCTGGGCTTTTGAGATATAAATAGGGGGACCTGTTGCCATAAAGCTCTTGCCTTGTGTTTCAAAGCCTAAGAAAGGCCTGGCCACAGCTCATTCACTGCTTCAGGCCAGCTTCTGCTTGATAAAGGTCTAGAGGAGTGGTAAATGATTGTCCAAAGGCTGCCACTGACATCTGGGTGACACTGTCCCTGCACTGGAGCATCCAGGATCGGAGGAGGCAAACCAGCAATGAGCTCTGGCASCCCAGTGATGGTGAGGGACCAGCCACACCAGGGCAGGAGCAGCTTTTTACTCACTGGCTTCAGTCATTCTCCTGCCCAAACCWCCAAGGCTGCACCAAACTCTCAGGTGGGACTCCTAAGGAAAGAAGCTTTGAAAGGGCCAGAAAGTTTAATTCACAGAGCCGCCACACTGGCAGCACCTTTACACAACTTCCCCACCCAAAGTCGAGAGGTGTAACCTGCAGGGATAATTGCAGCCCTTTGGCAAGGGTGGTACAGAGMGCTTGAGAAGGTAATCAAAGCAGGGAAAAAGGGAAAGCAACATCATTTTGGATAATTGGAGCAAAGAGGTAATACATATCTCAGTGTCACAGGGAGGATTGCCCAATGCAATATGCATTTATTCTTATCTCAGAATTGTATTTGTCTAAGTAAACCATGCTCAWGTTAAAGGGAGGCACATAAATCTTCTCTTATTGTAATTTTGCAACTCAAAGCAGCTGTTAATTATATTATAGATCTTCCAGAAGTATGTATAGKAATTACCAGTTTCAGCCACATTATTAGACTTGCAAATAGAGTTTGCTCTTTGCAAGCCTGTCAGGAGCAAAGGGTCAGACCAAAACCRGGGTAAATCAGCACAGATCCAAGAAATCAAGTGACAAATCCCAACTGTACTGGACTAATTACAGTACTGGACCTGATTCACATTTGATGACGACACCACCTTTAAGATGTGCACAGGCTTCATTGCTGAACTCTCATTTTGGTCTGCTCACACAAGTTATGAGTTGTGTTGGGTTTTTTTTCCTCATTATCAGGGTCTTCCTTGGGCCCAAACTCAATGTTTTGGAATCAGTGACAGCTCACTTCGGATCTTAAAATCTCCCAGAAAGAAAAACTGATGTTATTGTCATTAGAGTAAGAGAAAGTTCAAGGTTTGCAAAGCCCCTGAGAAGCCCTGGATCCCACCTTCTTCCATGGAGGAAGGGAAGCACCACTCTTCATCATTTAAATAAATTCACAAAAAGGAAGTTTAGTGAAATAACCAAGGTATGGTTATACCACCCACTTTCTTCATATACCACAGCTGCAGCTAAAAAACACTACCAGGCATAAATCTTCAGTATTATTCATATATGCATGCATAYATGGGACTAACCACTTGTATTACTAATTGGGTCTGTTTGTCTGGGTTCCATATCAGGRTTTCTTAAACCAACAGGAATTATGTGGGCAAAAGACTGAAAGGTCACCATGCAAGGTAGAGTTTTCAAAACAATTCAGTGAATTATAAGCTGAATTTCCAATATGAAAAGTAATTTTTCTATAAAGTGCTCTTAATTCCAATATATTTTCATAGAAACTATAAAAATTCTAATAAATATCTATCCACAACCCAAACAAAATTATTATTCAAATCAATGTTTTCTCAAAAGAGTTACAGAAATGTAATAGTGACTAAAATAATATGCAAGTGGTTGATATTTTCTGTTAGGCCAGTTGGGGCATTTAAATATCACAACTCCAGCACAACTTATTCTGTGAAGCCACAAAAATAAAAGAATTTGCTTTGTGAATTTTCGTTTGCAAAACCTTTTGATACCTCCTACTGGAAAGGTTTAACATGAGTGCAAAGCCATGTTATTAATAAAAATAACAATAAAACCATTTAAACAATGACATCTTGATATTGCTTTGTAGCTTCAGGGGCTACTCTTGCAAAGCACTGATTTTCTTCCATTCATTGAGAATAAAAGTTGACACAAAAGTGGAAAACACTCTCCTGTGGCCACATGAATGGGCAATGTTTATTGTGCAACATATTCCTTGGGAAAATAATCTAAAGAGGAGTTTCAAGATTAATATCCAATTTCCAGGCTTTTACAATACTTGGCAATCATTCAAATCTAACAGTGAACCAAGGAAAAGATTAAAAAGCCAAAGGCCACAAACCTGTTCAAACAGGTAGAGTGGGTTCAAAGTTTCCTCCAAGATCTTGAGGTATAGTTTCCACATATCACTGAGGTAAAAACCCTAGGCAGCCCCAAGATAAGGTCCTATTTACTCTAGATGAACTGAAGAATTATAATGAATCACGCTTTAGACCTTGCTCTTTAGCTGTAATTAATACTTGATTATTTTGGTTACTCACAGAAGAGTGACTTCAGTACAACCCTTCAGGAGTGTTGAAGCAAATTGGGGACAAAAAAATGGTAAAAATAGAAAAAAATTAAAAAAAAAAAAAAAAGAGAGAGCTGCTGCTGCTAATGRRAAGAAGAATGGTGGGAAAATACTCATGTCCCTGTGCCAAAGTGAAAGTGCATGAAAGTGCCTGCAGTCATTGCTATTCCTGCTCTTGCTGAAAACTTATTGGGAATCCCACTGACTCTGAAAATTGCAGGGGAGAATGCTCACAAGCAGGAGTGTGTGTGTGAAAGAAAGCAGAGAGAAGAAAGAAGCAATAACGCTGAGCCCTCTCTTACCTGTGCTTGGCATCTGCAACCCCCCGGTGGTTACATCATCTTGACACAGGACTGGTTTTAGCTCTGCTACTGGATGTGATCCAGACCCTCATGTTCTGACTTTCACCAACGGGAATGTCAATGGGATTCCTTCTTTCTTCCCAGCCATGTCACAGGAAAATAGTTATTTTGAGGAAGGAATGCCATTCAATCTTTCTCCTTTAAATAAAGCACAGCACAAGTCTGTTATACCCTGCTAAAACTTTGAACACCAAGCCTAAAGAAGYTAAAATCATAGAATCAGTATTTATTATGCTCCAGTAGCACACAGTTACTTTTATGACTGCTCATGAAAAATGCCAGGTACTGAGCACAACAGAAGAGAGTCTAAACACACAAGGAGAACCAGCAGAAGAGGACACAGAATACAGGCTAAGTCAAATACAGCTTTTTTTAAAAAAAATCAGCTTCATTCTCCAGTGACAACATATAGACCAACATTTCCTTTCTCTTAGAGAAGCCAAAAAGTTTTTCCTCAGTCTGCAAAATATTTGTGTATCACTTGATGTTCTCAGTTCATTAAGTGCTGAAATCCTACTCTGCACGTTTACCAAGACCTAAGCTATGACACCTTCTGTCAAACTACTTTTCTACGGCCTGCAATCCCTTTCCTATTAAAGGGAACTAAACCAACCTTGCTGGTGGTAATGGAACCCCAAAAGCTTTCAGTAARTATGAAATCATCTTATATTTGAAGACGAATATTTGTCCTTTGTAGGGAGATTCATAGGGTCTCAGCTGAGAAACAGTTGTCACAGCTGGGCAGGACCAAGTCCTGAAAAATGAGTGTTGAACCTCAATACACTGACACCAAGGTCATGAAGAAACCAGTTCAAAGCAGGAAACACCTCTAAGTCCATGGATTATAAAGATTCCAWATAACTATGGCAAGTGCTTACAGTAAATTCCAGTACAAGGAACCTCCACCAATAGCCAGAGCGGTGAGCTCTTTAAAAACAGGGTGGCGTCACTTGATTCTTGGAATTGAGGACACGTCCTAAATGGATGTGAGTGAASCAGGGGGTAGAAAAACTGATAGATGGCCCACTCTTTTAGTCAGTCTCGTATTTTTTATAGAATCTTAGTAACAAGTCAATTCTATACTGTTGGGTCCCACTGCAGCACCTCATAAGAAGCAGCTGCTCTCAGCTCAGCAGGCACTTTGCTGTGCATTCCCAAAGATTTCACTGACCTGTGCTCCCTGGGCTGGCTGAGCAGGGCAGGTAAACAGCCACTGCCTTCCCCTCAGAGCAGCTCTCACTGGCAGCAATTCCCAGTTCTGGAAAACAAATTGCAGACCATTATCAGCTCTTCTGGTAATTGCTGCAGGATGGAAGCGCAGAGTGCAATAAATCACAACATCATTATCCTAAGGCCCAAATGGTCTGGCATATTTTTGCTTAAGATGGTTAATACAGAAGTGTTGTAGACTGCAATGGCAGATAAAAATATCCACTAATGAATAGCATGCATGGGGGCTTTTTTGAACTTGTTCAGATTATTCACAACACATTTTAAACAAATAAAAATAATCTTGTCTTTAGTTGCAACATTTTCTTTTTAACTCTGGGWGAAGAAAATCCCTCAGCCTTTGAATATGAGAGCCTTGAACTCTGCTCAAGGCATTACATCTCTTACTAAGGTACCACAGATAATGACTGTGGGCTAAAGGTTGGTGTGTTTTCATTGTTTGTGTTCTGTCTTAGGGCAAATGTCCAGTGCCCAGCTGTATCTCAGTATTTACATGGAYATCACGTCATTTCCAGTAAAGCTTTTCATGCCCAGAAAAGAAGGGAGCTGAGTTAGAGCTCTCCAAAGTCCAACATAATACACAAACTTCAAAACTCAGACTTTGAAAGAAAGAAGCTGCAAAATCAGGCACTTTCAAACAACCATTAGGTCATGTGAACAAGGGAAATGTGATGGGATTTCCCTTGGGATATTCCAAGAACAAGAACAACCCCTGAGCCAACAGTATTGGGGCATCTCAGTGAGGCACAAGATAGGGAGGTTGTGCTCAATAATACACATTTAATGTTCAGCCAAGGAACATTAACAGCACTTGTGGATTTGCCAAGTGCCCATGGAAAAATGCAAGGATGGAGGGGAGGGAAAGGAAATAAATAAAACTGGAGAGGAAAAATTATATATAATAGAATTTTGCTTCTCTCTCCAGTTTCAGACCAGCTCATCAAAGCCAAAAGGTAACTCCACTCATTGCAGTATMTTCCATCTTGATCAGATTTCATCCATGAATAAGCAACTGGATTTCYACCAGGCAACTGGAAACCTCCCAAAAAGCACAACCCTCTGACGTGCTAGCAACACTGAAATTAAATAAAACATTCACGAGACAGACCCACAGATTTAGTGGATGTGACTTTCATAAACGCTGGTGTTCAGAAAGACCAGCTTTATAGAAAACATTTGCCCCTATTCTATAATCTCTACTGAAATGAGTTTAAATTACCTCAATATCAAATATGTCTCTTTTTAAACTTTTTTGATGATGGCATTGTTATTATTTTCATCCACTTAAAAAAAAAACCAAAAGGCTCTGCATGGCTTGTACTAAACAGGTTAGGATTATTATAATCAAAWTTTGATTGAAATACTATTAATGATCTGTCCTGGGAATACAAAGTAAGATTTTTGGGTTGATAGCATCTTTGTGATGGAAAGCACATTTTTTTAATTGGGTCCTTGGATAAAATACCATAAAGCTTGTTCAATTTATGTTCTAATCCAGACTGCCCTGTGCACATATACGTGGTTGCAAATATTTCATTATGTTCATGACTACATGTGATACATTACAGAGAGAGAAAGCAGAGTAAAAAACAAGGCGATCTGCCTGCTTTCAACCAAGAGCATGAAAGAGCTACGTGATGGCACCACGACCAACAGTGACCTTGGGACAGAGGCCACRGCACCATCGGTGCCAGCCACACCTGGGCAGCGGCCGTGGGAGCTGGGCTGGTCCCTGCCCTTCAGCCAGGAGGGATTTTCCTGACCCTTGTACAGCAGAGCACTTCAGGCAGAGGAAGAAGTGCCAGGCTTTTTCTTTCCTGGAATACTCAGTATTTTGTGTATTGGAAAGAACCGATCCCAGCAATCTGCTGAGCAGCTCTGAGCACAGGGAGATGCTCTGACACGGAAACAAGGCTGGCTGATCTCAGAGGCAGGGCAAAACCACGGGGTGATCCCTATTTAATTGAGAGCTGACAGCTGTTTACATCACCAAGGATTTAGCTGCAGTGTAACCACTCTTGTGATGAGCCGTGCACCTTTGAACGTTGGACAGTTTACTTCCAAATCTTTTACGCTGTGACAGCCTCCCTAATCATTCAGAAAATAAATTGTGGAAGCTCCCAAATGGCATTTTCAAACATGACAGTTTTACTGCCTCCATCATTACACCAGCTCAACTCCACAGTGAATGCTGTTTTTGGAGTTGTTGGGGTTTTTGATTATACAAGAAAAAAAAACAAAACAGGTTGGTGCTGACACAATGAGCACTGCTTCTTGCACAGACTGAAAAGCTACTTGAGGTTATGGAATAGTCAATAGTGGTGGCTCTTACACCACCATCTGTCTATGTAAATGTAACTCCTGCAGCTGCAGAGACCTGAGATAACACATTCAATCTACAAGAGTCCTTGCTACCACTTTCCCAGTATTTCAGTGTTATTATAACTCTCAAATTAAATGAAAGGCAAAGCAGAACAATGCGTCACACCCACTCTGAATCTCAGGTATCAGAGAAAATACTGTAGAGAGAACTTTTCTCTTCACAAAACATTTTGCTGATTGCAATTATATCAACAAAAAATGAAATTCTTATTTACAAGAGTGGATACTGGCAGGGGAAATGCTAAACCAGCTTTGCTAATTCCAACACTGTCAGATATTCCAGTTTGCCAAATACCTGCATTGATTTCTGTGTCTCCCTCCAGCATCRTGCTCACTTATGGTGGCCAGTCTCACCAATAAGTTTATTGCTGAGGAAGAATTTATTGTGGCCAAATTCAGCTAAAATCAGCAGTTCTTTCAGGCACCAGGGCTGTGTCTGGTCTGTAGAAGATGCAGCATCTCCTCAACATATTCATATTCTTCAGCCACGCCCTCAATTCCATTTTAGGCCAAAATCCAGAAGCACATCACAACCTAATCCTCTTGCTCATTTTTTGTGGGAAGGARCCCAGGTGCAGGGGTTGGATGGGAACTCAGACAGATGCCTGAGGCACTGGGATCTCCTGGCACAGTCCCACCTTTGCAGCCCTTGCAGGACCAACCATGTCCAACAGGAGGGTGCTGAGTGCTGTGCAAGCCCTACAACACCCCAGAAATTATCCCAGCCTTACTGGAGCTGGGCAGCTGAAAGGAGATGCAAACTGGATGAAATCTGCAGCTGCCTCTGCTTCCACCTTCCTCCAGCACAGGGATATTGCCAGCTCTGGATCAAACTGGGTTCAGCCTGGCCAGGTCCTGAAAGCCTCGTGGATGGAGGTTTTGGGTCTCTYTGGGAGATCTGCTCCCAGCTCCACTGCCCTCTTAAATGCAGTTGGGTGTAGGAAGAGCTGGAGGGTTCAGTAAAACTCACAGAACCAGGCTTCTCAAACCCAGCCTCAATACATTCACTTGGAACAGCAATCAGCTAGTAATAGATTTCTGATCTCTGGGCTGCATGAGGGTCATGGTGTTCCATGGACAACAGTGAAACATTTAGCATTTTATCTCTGCTGGAGGGAATCATTTATCTGCAATGGCACCTCCAGAATGGTGGGTGTTGGCAGAAGGTCAAGGTCCAGCATCAGGGTATGTAACAAACATTAACCACTTCACCCCTCTTCACTGGGCAGTATTTTAATTTCTTTTTTTTTTTTTTTTTTTTTTTTACATGATTATTAGTTTTTGACAGGTGTAAATCACAGAAGAAGCAAACCTAGATCACCTCCTACAGGCCAAGGAGAGAGAAGACTTTTCCTTCACTGAACACTGCTCTTCCTGCACCTCTGCATTTCTAATTTCTGCATCTTTAAAGAGCACTGAGTCCATCACACTGTTCTAGCCATGCTGAGCTGCAATTATTTTTCTTAGCATTAGATAATTTTGGGATGATCTTTTARCACACAAAATTTTAGGGTTAATAGAAGGCTCCCTCATAGGTGTGAACCAGCCAGGACAACCAGGCACTTCAGGAAATCAAACAAAAGGACCTTCCTTGCCCACTTTGTGCAATCAGAAACTACCTTTACACATGAATCAAGATATTTCTTTTTTTTTTTTTTTCTTTTTTCATTTCTTGGAAACCTTTTCTGCAAAATGGAGTTTATGCAGGCCATTGTAAAATACTGTGGGGGAAAGTGCATATTAAAAGTATAATATATTCTCTTTACTGATCATGATCTGAGAGTTAAAGTGTGTTTGAAACATTGTGTTTTGCAATCCCAGCTATGTGATGAGTGATAAGCTATATAGTCATAATTAACAGTAGCGATAAATAAAATGTATTACACTCTGCACAGCCCTATTTGCATTGCAAAAATCCTTATTTAGATTACAATGAACTCTAAATTACAGAGTAAACAAGTTTTGGCTACATCTTGAGGCCCAGCAGGGAGGAAGGTCTCATTTGCCACCCCAGCAGAGGAATGCTGTTTACATCCAACTGGACTGTGCCAGAGACTTTGCAGCTTTAACACACAAGGGCAGCAAACAGACCCCACAGTCCCTGTGCTTGGTGGGGTYTATTGGATGCCTGCAGGCTCCATACTCAACACCAGGAGCTTTCAGCAGTGTTTAACTTTCCCAAAAGTTGGCCAGCGRGGTTAGGCTGAAGCTGACATCTACCTGGGAGCCAGCTTGGTGRGCAGCAGGGTGCCAGGTCACCGAAATGAAACACTGCTGGTGCTTGCATAAAGAAACAGGCCTGTGATTTCATTCTGGACAAGCTGTAGACAATGAACAATAGGATATTTGCTTTAAACTGTCTCTTCTCTTTCCCCATGTGGAAAAGACAGCAGCATTCCAGGGGCTGGGATCACCTGCACCTCTGTCACTCCAGGGTGTGCTCACTGGGTTAGCTGTTCTCTTCTTGGAGYAGTGTTAGGAAAAGACAGATGTTCACTCCTTGAAAGCAGGACAYCTGTACACATCTGTCACCTTTATAAACTCTTCTGTGCTCTAARTGGTGCTTTTSCAAAGTTCCAAATTCRTGCTTCCTTTCACTAAATGCACAYGCAGGGCTATTGGGAGTGAGGCTGYGTCAATTCT